GGCATCACGCGACACGTAACTAACGTGCGAACCGTACGCGGATGCGTAATTGTTAGATATATTCGTCACGCATTGAATACAGTTGTTCCTGCTTATCGCGATACCAGCTATTCTCATATATCACATTATTTTAATGAATTTTTGCATATTTTACTTTTTTCCCTGTGACTCAAGCTGTTGCGTGAATGCGCCTATGAATGACCCGCTGCTACCGCGTACTATTCGTAGTTAGGTCGAAAGGGAAGCGGAAAACTTGACTCGATTCCTACTTGGAACAGCGCGCTGCTTTGCACACGTGCAAAAAGGCACTTGGGCAACTCTTATCGTCACGGGACGTTGTTGGCGTCGGCGTCGGCGTCGTCCAATTATCGAGCCAAGGGCAGACGGCACTTCTGCCGGATCCAATGAAAAACACGTCAGTTTTGTTTTCCAAGGTGTAGGGCAGCTGCCGGAGGATTATTCCAACAGTCTCTATGTTTATATATCAAAGACCTGCCTATACCCGCTCGGTATCGACGAATTGAACGATACCTCGGCGATATCGGCTACGCGTTATCGGTAAACGATCAAAGATATTTCTGGTAGGACTTGGGCTTCTGCTCAAATAGATTTCGTCAGTCGGCGCGAGTAGCCACCGTAGCTTCATCGTCCGTGAGACTTTTCGCTGTTGGTTCTTTCAAGAACGAAGAGACGAAAATGAATTCAAACAATTCGTAAGTAACTCCGCCGCAGACCGCGAGCGTTCTCATATAACGACGTTAAATTTTACTTGAATGTCACACGTAAAAGGGCTAAAGGCCGTTTAAATATTTCACGTGATAATAGATACCGTTGGGTTAAATTTCAATGCGCCGAGCACCGAATTACGCGTTTTTCACCTGACGCTGTCGCACGTGTCTCCGTTTAACGTTCAAATTCTACAAGAGACCAAACGCCGACATCGAGTCTCATGTTTTTCTTTGTTTGTTCACTCATTCGTTTACTCCGTCATCCGCCTCTCAATCTCTATCTCTCCCTTACTCACCGAGAGTGCTTCAATTAAACACGGCTGAATCACTCGGTCTGCTCGTGGCAAAAGAAAAAAAAATGTTGTGTTTGATATTCGCAAACTGCCAACTCCTTTTCAGTGGTTCACGTGCGATAGCTTGACGGCTATCAGGTTTCTATATAATTATTGAATTGCTCTGAGACATGCGATCGACTATTGATAATATCGAATATTTATCATATGCGATATTGCGGGCAGAGTCAATCTTCGTGAGACAAGACCAGATACGGCTGAAGGAGGTGTAACTTGTGTCAGGGCAACCTTACCTAAGAGAGAGAGAGAGAGAGAGAGAGAGAGAGAGAGAGAGAGAGAGAGAGAGAGAGAGATTTTTTTTCGACATATCTCTAAAGCACATGACTCTGTTGACTCTCGTTGGCTTTGGGGACTAACCACAAAGGCGCGTGACTTTTACTCAGACGGAGCAGCTCGTGGATGCTGTTGACATAGTGGATGATGGCGATGATGATGGTAATGACTCGGGGGAAGGGATCATGTAGGCCAGACGGATTTGTTATGTTTGGAGTTACAGCCTCTTTGACAATAACGTTGGCGTCGTCATAAATTTCTTTTTATGTTTGCGGAAAATAAGCGTTTTAGGAATTCCGTGTGATATAAAGTGTTGAGATTTACCGGCGTCGCGACGTCGACTCGATCGGTACCGGTTGTCAACCCGTGAGCGCCGGTAGTTGACAAGGCTATTGGTTATTTACGTCATCTATACCTATACCTTATGCTGCTTATTCAATATACTTTTTTTTTGTTTCTTTATTGGATTCTTTCTCGCTTTCTCTCCGACGGAGATGATAGACGAGATAATGCTTAGACACGTGGAGAAGGGAATTTTGAAAAAGATTATTGTAAAGCCCTCTTGAAAAATGGGGTAGTCCCTACCTTGACGTCAGCGACCATTTCAAAAGGATGTTATTACTTTATTACGCGGGGTAGGACGTTGGTCCAGCGAGGAGGGATCGACCAAGAGATGAATAAGGATGCTTGGCAGAATTTATCCGAAAATCGTGCAGATAACCAATTGATATTAATAATAATACTACCTGTATGGCGAGACCTGGAGGTGGCTTAAGTAGGGGTGAGGAAAAGTTTCAAGGGGTCAAAAAGTTGTGCAATTATAATTAGAAACGGCAAAATTTCAAAGGCGGATAATTTTCGGTAGCCTCATAAGAAGAGACGTTTGCAAAGCGTGGCGTATCGCATCGTTAGGGTGTTTTATTAGGCGCGGGGATTATAAAGCCCTTAGTAGTAAATGGTTGGTAAATACGAAACGGTAGTATTTTTGAAGCGTTCCCTGTACAAGTACTATAAAGCTAAATCAAGAATCATGGGAGAATATAAAAGTACAGAGAGACTCTTTACCCGAAATGACTCTCGTACTTATGTTTCCAATAAAATATCTTGTAAAGGTCTAAAGATGTGAAAGAGTTACCGATACATTTACTGTAGGAATTGATCGTTCCGAGTCGATTGCCATGAAAATCAATGAAATTTGTGCAAGAGATCAGGGAGTATTGAGAGGGTGAACGACACAGTCAAATATATTTTGTTCGTTGGGGTACCGTTCACACCGAATTTTTTTATAATATTAATCTCCCGATGATTTTTTATAGGAAAATTGATCGATCAGTTTTCAATGTTATCGTGCTGCCCACTAGTTTTTTTCCGAATGAAAAATAAGAAAAAAAAAAATCAAACTGCTCCTAAAACTTGGAATCTAAAATCACTTTGCCCACAAAATTAAATACGCAAATGGCTACGTTCTACTCGTCGGAGGTCTTTCGGAAGTGTATACGTTCATGTATATTGAAATGTGCGATTACGTGTTAAGAAATCTCGTTTCCTCCATCTCGAAGCTTCCCCTTCCGCAGTATAATTTTCCTTCGCAATTGAAGAAATTTATATATACATAGATATCATTTGACTTAACATTTCTCAAAAATAATGATGGACTGTAATGTCCTGTGGGCTAATGGCAGTAGAGGCGGCTATGTGATTATTTTAATATTTTATACGAAAATTTGCATAAAGTACTGAAATACTGAACAAAAACGTCTCCGGTCTACGACACGTGCATATTCGCTATACATATACGAACCGTTAGACAATATTTATTCTATCTTTATCTTATCTTATCCAGTCGCGTTCACGGTTTCAAATTATGTGGCTGGATGACATTTTCAAATGCAATCTAAGAGGAAATTATTATTATTATTATTATATTTCGTACCTAAATTTCTTAACGTTTTCTAATTGCTTCCTCACTTTATATCGTAATTGTGTATTGACTGTACACTTCCTTTCCCTTTCAGAGAAACTTCACGTTGCATCAAAGGCTGCATTTTCGTTGGAAATGCACTTCTTTATGCACTCTGAGGCAAATGGGCTTATATACATAATAAATTTAAATGCCTTTCAAGACTTCCGGCGACATCACAAAATATTTACATTTCAAATATGAAATGTTGTACGATTGCAACGAGTACACCTTCACGTTACGTCATTACTAAATCATTCCGAATAAGAAATGCAAATCAAAGATATAAAAGTTCTTTGCACAAACAGGTCGTCCACGATTTTCCAATATTTTTCACCTGTAACTCCTAGATGGTCTTCAGTGCATCTTGCGGTTTTTCTCGTGTCCAGAGAATTATTTACGGTTGAGTTTAAAAGATTTGTAGAAACCAATTATAATACAAAGAGCTATTGTATTTTTCGCCTTTTAAACTAAAAACCACGTGGGTGAAAACTTGGCGCATGAAAATTGTCAAGATTAAGCATCATTATGAAGATTATCATCACCGCAATGTCTGTATAATCTCCAGGCCTGATAAAGAAACCCTAATGACACGATATCCCAAGTTTTTAAAACACCTCCTCTTCGAAACTGACAAAAATTTTCCACTTTCGAAATTGTTTAAAAAAAATTTCCATTATACACTTCCCGAGTTTACTAATTTTCGGGTCATTAAAATTATTTTGACAATCCTTGCAGCTGCTAAAACATCCTCCCGTCAATCGGCGATATAGCAGACTCTGCAAATATCTCCTGCTTTTAAGCTGACGAGAATGTTCTGCTTTCAAAATTTGTGTGACGAAAGGAATGTCAACCGCGGACATCTGGAGTCCACTAGTTTGCAGGTGATAAAAATTATCTCCACGATCCTCACACCTGGTAAAACATCCCGTCAACAAATCGCGACTTACCAGACTCTGCAAATATTCCCTTGTTTTATATCGCCGAAAATTTGTTCTTTTCGGAATTTGGAAGGAAAAAATTTCAACTGCACGCATCCCGAGTCCACTACTAGTTTTCGGATCGGAAAAATTATCTCCGTAATCGTCACGTCCGGTACGAAATTTCTATCGGGAAATCGCGATTTACCAAACTCTGCAAATACGAGTATCTTGTCTTTTAGGCTGTCGAACAATTTTTAGCTTTAGAAGATTAAAACGAAAATATTTGAACCGCAGAACTTTTCGGGTCGTCGAAACTTCCCCCACTCCTACTCAAGCTACGATCAGGTCTCGCCACGTGCACTCAGAGAAGGAAATAGTTACTTGTATTATTTGTCAACTATGAAAAATAGTAAAATTAAAGGACCATAGAAATATATGGTTAAAAATAATAAAAATATATAATTTATAACTAAATACAAATTACTGTAATGCAGTTGGAGACACTTCTGAACGAATCTCTATTGAAATTGTATCGTTTAACGTTCCTCAAGATATATCAAATATAACGATCGAGACAATGAAATAATTAACTACATAAAAAGAAGTATAAAAAAGGGATATGCGCACTTTTGGTTTTTGGCTAAATCTTTTGGTAGTCCTGTGAGCGGAATTCGCACCTGCGATTGTCGGATTGCTCGGCGCGAGGAATGTAGCGACACCCAGCCCAATTAATTGCTAAATATTACTTCATTTAAACCAATAACCATCATTATTTGTACATATGAAAACAATCGGTTTTCCTGAAGTTATCCAAAGAAGATAATTCAATAAATACATACGGTTCATTGAACTGAAGATATTTCATATGGTACGTTATGCAATAAATTTTTTCGGCGTACGGATACTATTACTACTGGTATATAGATATGTATGATATTATACATATATATATAACATGTGTCGTATGTGCATCGATATCTCAGTGATTAATATCATTATCATAATCTTCTAACTGTTTCGTAATAACCTTTTCGCAAATTCTTACAACTCCTAAAAGTTCATTTGATTCGTATAATATATTAATTGCAGCATTAATTATTTCGCAATGTTAAATATATTCGCGCGATCCGTTTCCGCCACTGTAAACCTATACCTCGCAGTGCACAAACTGTAATTACAAAGAAAACAAATCCTACTCTAACTTATTCATAATTTCAGTACTTGTCACGGGCCAATGCTTCTTATTTCTCTTTGCTTTTCAGTGTCACCCGAAAGCGCACTTTTTCACAAACTATAAGATTTCCACGTAACGTAGCACCATGTGATTGTTAATATCGTTATTATGCACTGGAGCTCTGACGGTCACAAGAGAGACAGACAGATAGACATAAGGTTTATTTGATCGCGGAGAAAACTCCATAGCGACTACAGGCAAGAACATGCAATATTTCACCTTGCGAAAATAGTAAGCAATCGTTTTTTACAGTCAAAAGTTAATTACACTGAAAAAATTCCAAGAGTAACAATAAACAAGATAAGGTTAGTTAATTTATTAACGAAGTAAGTAGGTAAGACTAGGAGATTAAATTAACGTAAATATTTGGTGTGCATCTGTTAACAAGAGTACACGATCGCGCCAGACGTGTAATGGCATACGCAGGCTAGACCTATAAGATGGCTGGACCAGTGAGCGGAGAGGCTGCCAGCGACTCCTCGGAACGCAGGACTTTCAGGCGTACCATTCGAAAGTCTGATAGAGTTTCAGCAGTGGTGACAACAGCTGGCACAGAATTCGAAAATTGGATTCCTGTGATCAGAAAAGACCTATCAAGTGTGACAGTCCGGGCTGGTGGACGATTGACACGCCCGGTCAGTCCTACTGGCGTTGCGACGCCTCGTCGTACTGGGACTCAAATGCAATTTGCCCGTGAAAAAAGCATAGGTAGCATAGCACCAAGGTGCCTATAGAAATCACATCCAATTAGAAAAGGTCGACGATTGGCCGATGTGACCCATCCGAGTCGACGTCTGTGATGCCAAATGTGGACATTACGTGGCAGTCGAAGCAGAAAACGAACGCCGTTGTTTAATGATTGGGTTAACTTATTTTCTGGCACTAGTAAATTATAGGTTGGCGCCTGGCGACAGTCGTCAACCAGCCGAAAAACTGCAGTATGAGTCCCCCCATTCATACACGGAAGCCAATTATTCAAGGGTCAAAGACACTGGTGGCTCTAAGAAAATCAATGATTTGACTGTAGACAATGAGCTGTAATACCTCAGAGAGAGAGAGAGAGAGAGAGAGGGAGAGAGAGAGATGGGTCGGTAATCAGATGTCACTGTCGGATTGCGCACTTTTGATATTGGCGTGACAAAAGAGGATTTTCATAATGCGGGGAAGTCTGCAGCGGCTAGGAAGGTATTAAGATGTAGTGTCACTGTGGGAAGTAACAATGATTTGAAAACGTTATAAGCTTGGATGGGTAAATTGTCTGGGCCGAACGCAGAGAGAGAGAGAGAGAGAGAGAGAGAGAGAGAGAACGCTATAAGACCACTGCATCAAAAACCAGTGTCACGTGGCTAAATCGTAAATCTGCATGTAAATAAAGAAGCAAAATGAAAAGCATACAATAAAAGAAAGTAAATCGTGATCGATTATACAATATTATAGGCTGGGACGTGAGTAACGCGGTGCACAAATATGCACGAGCGTGTGCGTTGCGGTTGGGGGGGATAATTAATGGCCGATTAAAGTGTCATCGAGAGGAGCAAATATTTAACGAGTGACTTCTACTAGCACTCGGGAACCCGAAAGGCGGAGCTTAGAAGACGATGTACGTGTGCCGCACGCGTCTCCCCTACCATCGTCCGGATGTCACTTACACCAGAGCCAAAAACAAACACCGCTCAGAAAATTAGATCATCGGTTTCTTGGTTTTTTTTGGCGCTGTGGGGAGGGAGGATTTTTTTTCGCGAAATTCACACAATTCCATATATAATCGATCGTTTGAATTTATCGTCTTTCGTCTCTTTGTCTAGTCATATTCTTCGTATCGGGATTCTGCTTAGCGATACTCACGTGCATCGGGTAATTCAAAAGTATGACTTTTAATATTTTTCCGCGAAGATTCATAATCGAGATGGGAAAATAATAAACCGGTTAAACCCATCGTCACGATGCCTGCATGGTGGCTGCGAACGTTCATTAGCACGCGCACCATCCATTGTACCGAGTTAAAAGACACGAGAGGAACGATAAGAAGTAGAATGCGAAAAATGACGCTTGGTGTATTTATTTTTAATTATCAATTTTTTTTAACTCATCCTCTAGGGTATTGCGATCGTGAGGATTGACTCGTAAAAATTTGCACGATTAAAAAAAGTGTGGTAAACAAGTTTATTGGATGCGGAATCAACGTCGTGTTTTCGTAACTTGCTGGTCATGGTATACTGCGATCAGTCACAAGGTTTTACTTATTTTACTCTTGGAAACATTCATACTATTTTTAATACGTCTGGCAATCGTTTCGCTCTCTCTTGCTCTTCTTTTCTCCTGATCCTCTACTCTCTCACTGAATATTCCCTTCTCTCGAGGGACTTGCGGCCTGACGATAGACACGCAGCCACGCAGCCACGCATACAGGCTAACACGCATGAACGTCAATTTGATGACGACAATCGTAGCGATACGCTTAAAATTATCAAACTAATTGGCTTAAATTAGATAAAGTATGTGTAGATTCTAAATGTCCTAAATATTTTTTAATGTAAGAATATTAGGGCCATCGATAATGTACGAGTTACTCGATTACGTATAAATTCGCATACGTTTACGTATTGAGATAATAATGACTGGAACATGAAAACACATAATTTCGAATTTCGTAACTTCGCGCTACTTCCATGTGTATCGTAACTTATGCAACTTTTTTGTATCCCGGTACACATAGCCGATCTGGTCCAGGCGTCATTCTTCTAAACCGCAGCTGTTAATAAAAGGATGAGCAACCGGTGTCTCATTATTATTCGCTTCTAGGGCAAAGAGGTCGACTCGACTGAATTTATGATCGACTTACGATCGATATACGATCGGTCGAGATTGCCCGATAAGAAATTTCAAGAAAATATATTCTTTGATCGACGATTAAATATTTCCCAACAATCAGCAAAAATCCTTTTGACAAGCGTTTACGGCTCTAAGAAAAGGGCCTCTGGCCACGTTCTCGCTGTTATTTTCATTATTCGAATAATCCACTTTATCTTTCTCGAAAAATCACGCCTTTCGGGAGCACGTGCTTTCGTGTACGAATTTTGTTGTCTCAGATGGCCCCTGTGACAATATTAGGAAAATGCTGATGGCACTGTGCAAAGGATGACGATAAACAATGTCACGGAGATAAGAGGGAGGAAGTCTGCTGGTCGTTAGCATAATAACACCGAGTGCTTCACCTCCTGGTAGTCAGTACGTGCCAAAGCGCCGATCGGTTCGCATTAATTCAATCTGCTTAGCTCGGTTACCTCATTCGTTCGATCCTTCCTCCTCGGCGCCTCAACCAATCAATATATATTTTCTAAAACTTCTTCCTCCCATTACACGTTCCCTCGCCGTACTTTCCGACTGTCTTCGGCACTCGGCTATTTCCCGATTCCCGATTCCCTATTCCCGATTTCTTGACAAAGAAAATTTTAACATTTTCGTACCGACTCAACTTCAAGCTCAAGATTTTCGTTAGACGCAATTTCCTCGTTGTTTCCTCTACGTGTCATTAATCCGTCCTCACTTCCTGGATATTTATCCGTCACGCGTCGCTTATCTTCGGCAGACGAGAAGACTTCGAGGTGGCCATGAGAAACTCGTCGATGGTGATAGACTACTTGGTCTTCGTCGTCTTCATAGTCGGGTCTTTCATCGTCCCGCTGTGGGAGAAGTTTCGCACGAAGACGACGGAAACCAAAGCGGACTATGTATTCGCCTTGGGAAAGGTCTCCATGGGCGCCATGATGCTGTCAATCGCCAGGGGGACTCTCGGCGTCAGATCGTTCCTTGGCTACCCTTCTGAACTGTATTACAGGGGTAGCGCCATGTGGGAGACTCTCTACGGGATGCTCCTGGCTTACCCCATCGTCTGCTATATATTTGTTCCTGTCTACTACAGTCTTGGGATTACATCGGTCTATCAGTATTTGGATATGAGGTGACTATCGATAAAAAATCAATTGATATACAAGTAATAACGTGTTAATGTATTTCTTATACTCGATAATGAATCTTATCTCTCGATCGACTGATAACCCATTTTTTTTCCTTTTCAGATTCAATTCCAAACTGGTCAGATGTCTTGCTAGTTTCTCTTACGTGATCCGCAGCTTACTCAATCTTGCTGTGACCGTATTTACTCCTTGCGTCGCTCTCAATACTGTTATTGGTCTTCCGTATTGGGCCAGCATCACTTCTATCACTACGATATCGGTTCTCTTTACCATCATGGTACCTTTTACGTTTAATTTTTGTCCTGTCACTTATTTCAAGAATGGACGTCAAAGACTTCCTTAGGATTGAGAGTAATCGCGGTATTATTGTTTCCAGGGAGGACTCAAGGCTGCTATTCTCTCGGACGTCATTCAGGGCCTCACTATGATTGGCGTATCAGTTGCGATAATTATACAGGGTGTCGTTGACGTTGGTGGTGTCGGACCTGTACTGAACGTCACTTACGAGCGAGGCCGTCTTGACTTCTTCGAGTAGGTTGCTAGAAAATTGAAAGAAAATTCTAGTATACATATCCCCAGAAAATTAATCGTCTTCGACGCCGACTGGTGTATGTGAATAACTTTATTGATTTATAATTTTTAGCTTCAACTTGGACCCGACTATTCGTGTGACGACGGTGTCTGCAATAATTGGACAGCTGTTTATGAGTCTCTCGGTTTTTGGCTGTCAACAAAATTTCGTGCAGAGATACTGCAGTATGAATAGCCAGAGAGAAGTTGTCAAGTGAGTTTCCAATCGACTACGAATGAGCTTTATCAGCCTGGTTCAAAATATTTTACTTCTATGAACCTAATTTTTACTTTCTTCAGGACTATGATGGGGAACGTTCCCGTGATCACGGTTTTATTTTCCCTCTCTTGGGTCGTCGGGATGGTCATCTTCGCCAACTATGCGGACTGCGATCCTAAGAGTCTTGGGTACATCTCAAAATTCGACGAGATCGTCCCTTTCTATGTAGAGGATAAGTTCATCTACCTGCCAGGATTGTTGGGACTTGTAATGGCAACGCTGTTCAACAGTGCGCTCACCTTGGCCGTGTCCAATCTCAACTCTTTGGCGACCGTAACCTTCGAAGACTTCCTCGGACAGATTCCTGCCCTGAGTGGACTCAAAGATAAGCACCAGTTGCGCGCCATTAAAATTATCGGCGTCATATATGGATTCATCATAATGGGCGTCAGCTTCCTTGTCGGCATGTTATCCGGAGTTATAGAATCTTCCATGCTGATGACCTCAGCGACCTCCGGACCTTTGCTCGGTGTCTTCTTACTGGCCATGCTGGTGCCCTGCGCCAATTGGAAAGGGGCATCGGCTGGGATGATCTTCAGCCACGTGACGACCCTCTGGATCACCTTCGGTAGTCTCACCATTACCAAGAACGTCGAGATGCTACCCCTCTCGACCGAGGGATGCCGCAATGACACCATATCGCCTTTCGTCGTCCAACCAGCTACGATCAAATCGTACCTGACGCACCATACGAACGTCACTTCTAGTTCAGCAAGTACAATGATGATGTCGACGACGCAGAGCACGATCCTTGGGTCCAGCGAGGAACTCTCACCTCTGGACTATCTTTATAGTATCACGTATATGTATTATGCCTTTATTGGCAGCTTCACTACTGTCTTCGTCGGCATCGTCGTCAGCCTCTTGACGGCCGATCCGAAGAACGACATCTACGAGGAACATCTTCTTCATCCGCTTGTTCTGAGGTTGTCCCGATGGTTCCCCGGTAAACCAAGGCTCTACGCCGGCACGAAGCATCTGGACGAGAATGAAGATTCCACGAAGAGCAGTAATTCCGCAAATGTCAATCGAAATGTTAATTCTGACAATTCAAATTCAAATAATGCAAATGGCACTAATAATACTGGAGCAACGGAGAAGACATTTCCGGGACGTGTCGGTGAGGATGGGAAGATCAATCTGAACGAGACCTACGCGAATAAGCTGAATGCCTTTAAGGACATCTCCCTTGAGGTAGCCAATGAGATAACAAAGGACTCGATAACGAGGCTCTGATGACAAGATCAGTGCGAAAGTGACGCAACTAAGAAAAATCGAATTATTTTTGCTCGATTGACTCTCTTGCGCAATTTCTTCTGTGCCGGAAGTAAACTGACCTTGAGTATGCCTTGGCACGTACTTAAATTCTCATTAGTGCTAATTAACAAAAAAAGAAACTGTCGCATTGTGAATTGGGACTAGCGAGCTGTAAGATATAGTCACTACAATGTGTGATTGTGTTGATAAATACTCATCGATTTCTTGCTGCGCGTCGGTATCATATGACTGAGAAATCAAAGTTCGAAGAAGCAGAATAGAAAATCGCGCGGCAAATAGTAATTAATCATCTGAACGTGTATTCATCGCGTATTTATAACGTTCGGTATTATAGAGAAAAAAAACTGGTAATAGGAAATCAGTTTTTTTTTTCAAGATTCACGGTACAAAAAAGTTCTTTCTAGTTTTTGTTACACCGTGGCTGAGCCGTTACCCTTTATAATTTACCTTATATTATGAAATTAGTTTAGTCACTTGGTTAGGCGTCGACGCATGTTTGCGAACTTGTTTGATTTTTGTACGAACGATATCTACTCTCATCCCAAATTTCCTCGATTTCTCGTGGATAGTGCATTTTATTGATTTTACGTAACCGTATATATAGGACCCAGGACGTCTTCAGTGGCAAGCCGACCTTCATCAACATTCTAGCCACTGAAAGTAGCACTTCTTTTTCGTTTATCTACTTCGCGATATGTAAATATTATAAATACGCATATGCTCATTAATAAAAATATAATTAAATATATAAATTTGAATCGAAATTCGTAAACGTTTCTACCTACCTACGCGCATGGCCCTTTGACCTTGCAGCAAATTCGAAACCTTCACTGAAAGCTGTTCGTAGTGTGCCTGTAGATGAGTGATAAGGCTCCAGGCTTCAATTGCTTAAGATAACGCTCTGTGCGGCGAAATCTCGTTATCAGGAGTGAATGATCTAAGAAGTGAGCGAGTGAAGGGAAAGGGGCACTTTAGGGATTTCACGTAGATAGAGCACGCATTGAAGCGTAATTCCAAAAGTCCTGCTGGCTAAATGCGTAACGCCTATCGAGCGGAGCCTGCGGGCGTCCATTGATTGTATCAGTGATTGAACGCCATTTTATCGGCTATGTACACGTTTCTAATGATTTTTTAATTTTCAAAAATTATAATAAAAATGATTTTCATGAAATTCGGACGACTTCCGTACCATTGTGGCAGCGATCGGGACGATCTAAGCGGTTATCGACAGTAACAGGCAGTCATGGTACAGGTGATAACGGTAATAATCTACAGGCGGTGCCTGAGAATATTTTACAGTAGATAGTCTCGGTAGTCTTGCACCGTCAGATGTACATACAAGCATGTGCTCTGGTTCGAGGTTGTTACGTCGCGCGTCGTTTTCCCACTCACAGTGGTGTAGAATGAAAAGCGGATCGTCATAGAGTGTACGTGTGTAAATACATGAGGTAGAGTAGGATAAGAGCAAAATCAAGGGGAAAGACAAAAGGAAAGATGAGTTTGTTAGAAAAGTGCTGAAATGTGTTGAAAAACATTTGAGATTTCAGAAACCGATCGAGTGGCAGACAGAAATCGTAACTGAGCAGGAAGCGATGTTGAGTCGGTAAACACCGGCAGAGCGCGCGGCAGTATCATTCTCAACTACGTTCGTCATCTGAACAGCCATGGTTCCAGGTTGCATCGCGCCATCCCTCGCATTCCTCGCTCAGAAAACCGGACGATTGCCGCTCATTGTTCTTCGACCAACACCATAGACTGCTGCTCCGCAAAGGTTCTCAGGAAATTGCCGACTAGCTTGTAACACGCCAGTGCGTTCTTAGTGAAATCAACAGAACGCGCTTCTTGTCATTTCTTCGAAAGTTTGTTTCATCTTAGTGACAAGGGAACGTGAATCCATGTACGCGTAAAAAGCGTGTTTACCTCCGTTGACGTTTGCTTCAGTTTTACGTCAAATTCACAATGGCCGTGGAATCGAGGTAAGTGTACAAATTCAGCACCCTTCTTTCTGTTTCTGCAAATTTTCCTTTCGATCCACACTAACTCTCCATACTGGCTTTTCATCGTTCACGCGTCCTTTTTTATTAATTTGACTGTTCGCACTCATTCGTTTTTTTTTCCATTTTGATGATAACTTTCAATGGTAGTCCCCTTCGTAAATTCCTTTTTCTCGTCGACTGCTTTATTTCCACTTTTGGCATGTTTCTTTGAAGGCACGAAAAAGAAGAAGTCAACCTCAGGACACTTGTTTCTTCTCCTTTTATCTCCTTCTAGTACCCACTCTTGTTTGTTAAAGCGTCACTGACACGAGGACGTGTCAACTCGTATTCAGGATTCAACTTTGAGCCGGCAGCTTCCAATGGCAAGAACAGTTGTCATGTTCTTGAAATTCTGAAGATGCTTCTCGTGAATGTTTTCCTCGCGCATGTCGACTCAATCGATCGACCATTCCGGCTACGTAGGCATGCGTACCACCACTGGCTACGTTTCCACCATACAAGATTTAGAGAGGATTCACCAATTACGCTACACTTCTTTTTAACCCTTGCAGGCGATTGGTTAATCCTCTCTAATCCTGTATAGTGGAAACGAAGCGACGCGGCCCCTTTGAGGGTCTGAATAGGAGACTGTGCGCATAGGGCATATTAAACTACCTCTGATCATATTATTTCTGACCTTAGAGTAGCTACAAATTACAAACTCGTGCCGCCTGTCTCTCCTTCTATGGTTGGTGGGTTCTCTTGAATTGAGAGTAATAACTTAAAAATTTAACGCAGTTATTTTCTCGTTAGTCTCTGTGCCTCCTGCAAAACAGTTAGGGCCGTATGAATCCGTCAATACAAGACTCTTAATAATAAAAACAAAACAATGCTGTTTTTTTTTTAAAGATTTCAGAGAAAAAACTTTAGAATACGGTGAGACGTGCGCCAGCACGTCACAGTATTAATTTATTTGGTTTGATTTTTTGTTCGGGCTCTCTCGAATGAGTTGATATAATCGATTTTAAAAACTACCTGTAGATACACGATTGCGACGACTAATTAAATCTAGAAGGGTGATTAAGTAAAGCTTGATAAACGTTTTTGATTTTTTTTTTAGATGGATGCCTTGTCAGTTGAAAATCGAAGCCAATCTATGCAGCGCCGACTACGATGGGATCATCCTCGTATCTGGAAGTGCACCCGGATTCGATGAACCAGAACCCTTCAAAACGGTTCTATATGCTGCTGCACAAATCGACTCCGCTTTGGGGACGATTGGAGCTGTTCTCCCTATTAATCTACCAGCAAAAAGGCTTGTTTATAGTCCAACGGGTCCCCTCAATATGGATTATCACGATGTTCGAAGCTTTGGGGAAGCAGCGACCAAAGGAATCCAAAGGTTACACGACCTACATCCGAATAACTTATTCTATTTATAAACGTGAAAATCTTGCAAGAGACGTCTCTTGTTTATTTTACTAAACACTTCCTCTGTTCGCTTCTACATCGCAGAGCTCTGAAGGCAGGTGTACGTTGCCCGCTGTTGGCACTTTTACCGGATGTCCGTTTTGAGAATGTCGAACTGGTAACACTTCTAGGTGCACTCGAAGGGCTTTACGTGGTAAGTATTCCAGATGCTGGATCACACTATTGCCAGCTTGTTCGGTGAATGAATAGGTAGATGAGTGGATGAATGGATGAATAGTTAATGAGATTGAGGTGAGAAAAGATACCATGGATACGGACTAGTGAACTATAGGATTTGAACACATGCACGGTTTCTCATGAATTTCAGCCATTGGAGGTGAGAGAAATTGGTCCTGAGAAATGCTACAAGGCGTGCCAACTTGGTGTCTGGAGTCCAATTTGCAATAAGAAACTTCAGGGAGTCGTAAAACTGGCGTCTGCCTTGGAAAGCGGTAGATATGTCGCCAGAGATATTGGTAAGATAGAAAGTTACTTGAAAATTGATAGAATAAAATAATAGTTTGTTCACTTAAGCATTCAGTTTATTGGAGATGATGTCATCTCACTTAACAGAAAGAAATTTCAGATATTTAATTTAAAGGTATTTACAGGAGGAGCCGACCCTGAACGAATGGCGCCTCCGCGCGTCGAGGAATACATTGCTCAACTATTCTGCGGATCAAATGTCATGATGCAAGTGGTGAACGACCAGGATACCTTGTTACAAGAGTATCCGCTCTTTGCAAGTGTAAATCGTGCAGCTTCCGTAATTCCACGTCATGCTGGTCGTATAATTTTCTTGACCTACGAACCTGCGAATCCTGCTTGCGTTCTCGAGACTGTGATGTTAGTCGGTAAGGGTGTGACCTATGACACGGGTGGTGCGGATATTAAGTTTGGTGGAAGTATGTCCGGCATGTCCAGGGATAAGTGTGGCGCAGCTGCCTGCGTTGGATTTATGCAGGTTAGATAAATTATCATAATTAATGGTAAGTTAAAGGAAACGATTTAATGAAAATTAAAATTTGAAAGAACTTGTCTCGTGTAGGTGGTTAATCTTCTGCAACCGCCAACCGTAAAGGTCGTCGCGACACTTTGCGTCGTTCGAAATAGCGTCGGCGAGAATGCCTATGTCGCTGACGAAGTAATAACAGCGAAATCCGGTGCCAGAGTGCGCGTGGCTAATACCGATGCCGAAGGGAGAATGGCAATGGCCGACGCACTATATCACATGAAGGAGATGGCTCTGTGCTCTGTCAATCCGCACATCTTCACCATAGCCACTCTGACGGGACATGCAGTCCTTAGCGCCGGTCAAGGATATTCGGTGAGTAATTTTATTAATGAAAACTGAAATTTTTCCCTATAACAAATGTTTGACGATTTATTAATAATTCCTTCATCGTTTATCTGATTTTTATCACGACAGATTGCCATGGATAACGCCGTTGCCAGACTGGTCAGTAACGCCGAAAAGCTTCAGGCTTCTGGCGAGGTCCTGGCTGATCCTTTCGAAATATCCAGGATCCGCCGAGAAGACTTTCGGTTTCACGAGGGTCAAGCCGAAGGTGACGATATCCTGCAGGCTGGCAGAGGTGCCAGCACGAAGATTAACAGAGGTCATCAGGGTCCGGCAGCATTTCTCATTAAGGCCTCCGGTCTTGATAAGGTAAACACAACATTCATGCCTCATGCCAAAGCTTACAGATTTGACATTATTTTCTACTCAAACTTTCAGCATGGAGTAGGCTCAGGAAAACCTATAAAATATTGCCACTTGGACGTGGGAGGGAGCGCTGGTGATTTGCCGGATCAGCCTACCGGTGCTCCTATCCTGGCACTCGCCAATCGATTTCTAATTAAGAATCCTACCGATAAGGTCCAGGAGCAGCAAAAATAATGTTGGAGTGGCAAAAACTCCAAAATCGATATCCCCTTTTTTGTTTCCAGCTCTCCTGAACCCTGATCACCCTCAGCCAGTAGCTTCTCTACCCCCCTATCCTACACAGGACTACTCGCAATCAGTATAAGTCGCAAATTTAATTGCGTTTGAAATGAGTAACCCAGTAGAACTTGTACAGTTTTTTACAGCTATTCACAGAGAACCATCTAACTTTAAACTGTTTTCTCTATTTCCTTTACAATGTCTTTCATGTGGCCTACTAATTTTACTGGCCGCTCCTACGTAAATTATTGTGATATAACAATTGAGTCCTAATGGACTGTAATAAATAGGATACTTACTTTCTACGTATAATTAACTGTTAATGACTTAATAATTCCAGCACGGAGTCTGCAGCTGTTCACCCTTGAAATTTACCCACATTGACATGGCAGGACATCTTCCCAATCCACATCACCAACCCTACAGTGGTAATCCCATCCTCGCCCTGTCCTATTGCTATCTCATACAGGGCAAGTGTCTCACCGTGAGAAATGATCTGCCAATGGAAATGCAATATGTCTGCGAAATCGACAGTAAACCTATATGTATTCCTTCGCCTCAACCTTGCCAACCATGTCAACCCTGTCCTCCAACCTGCGAAGTTCAGTGCATGCCGTGTTGTACGCCACAGAATCCAATGTCGTCAGCACCGGCGACATGTTCACCCTCTTACGTACCATGTCAATCTTCAGAACCTGTTTGCGTTCTTGAACCCATATGCCTACCAAATTCTAAAAGGAATGGACTCAATTCTTGTACTTGATATTAAATGGAATAGATAAGCATAATTGGCCTCTGCGTCATTGGTAGTGGATTATGATTTTAAAGGTAATCCGTGATTTTTAGTAACTGATTGATTTATTATTGGGTTCTTGTAGGAGCTAGAGTTTGCAAACCTGTATTCGTTATAATGAATCAAAGAATGAGATAATCGTGTTATGGCTGAAGGTAGTTCTTGCGAGGACTACTAGATGGCGTTTCAATCAACCTAGTGTATCCATGCAGGCTAAGAGTAAGAGGAAATGATAAACCATCGTTGAGTTTCTTAAAGTCTGTCAGAGATGGCGCTGACTTTGTTTTGAAGACTATGCAAATTCGTAATTTGTGTAGTCGATAAATGCATATGAAACTCTCATGAAATTGTTCGGAAAAATATATTTCATTAGCAGCACAAGTAAAAGGTTCTCGAGTGTGTTTTTATTAACTTTATTATTTTAACGTTTATTAAGGTTAATAAGGTTTATTAAGGTTAATAAGTTTTCAGTGCCTAACCGCTGTTTTTTTATAAACATGAAACAGCAAATTATTAATGACAAATGTATATTAGAAATCTCAATCACATTTTCACTCGATAAGTTTTTTAAGAGTAAAAAGAATAAGAAAAGCTAATGGACGCAGTTAGAATGGCGAAAGAAAAATTTCAACGTTTTAATCAAAGTGAAGTATTCACAAGATCCACGTTGAAAAAGTAGAGATTTCTTTTTGGTATTCTTTATCAGGAGGAATTATAAGAAGTGTGACGAAGATTCAGCCGCGAAATGACTTAGTAGAAAGATAGTCGTGAGGTAGCTCTTGGTCCCAAGATATCAGCAGGTATCGACTGGTATTGTCGTTCTTGCCCATAAAGACTGACATTGTTTGAAGAAGTTGAGGCAGAGCTGGCCTAAAGCTGAGCAAGAACGATGGCAGAGTTGAAGGTGGGAAGCCGGGAGGAACGGAAAGAGGGACGAACCCGTGGAAGGGGAAGGGACAGAGTGGCGAGTTCGACGGCCTCCTGGTGGCCCAGTGACCGGGACCGGTTCCCTCCGCAGTTCCTCCTTCCGCCTTCCTTGCAAACGCACAACTGCATCATCTCTCCTCCCTCCACTCCATCTTCTTCTCTTTTATCCCTCATCTCGTCCTCTCTTCCTCTCTTCTCTCTTCTTGAGGCCTTCACGCACGCATTCACTCACTCACTCACTCACTGACTTGTCTCGGCTTCTCAGGAGTCCTCCCTCGGCTCGTCTTGTCTTGGTTCAGTTTGTCTTGTCCTGCCTTGCCTTCTCTTTACTTGACCTGTCGTCTGCGTCTCTCTCCCCTGATCTGTCAACGTAACTGCATCAGACTTATCCAGAATCATGCGAATACATTTGCTCTTGGAGGATCGACGATTGAATTCGAAGTTTGGTATACCGACGTCCTAATTTCCTAAATCTGTGTCCTTAGAATTAGGAGCAGCATCGCCAAGCATCTCTACCAAAGCGCCCGAACGCCCAAAGCTACCGAGTGACAAAGGAAGTCAAGCACAAGTAAGATAACTGGCGAGACCTTCGGGGAATCTTAAACTAAACGGTATGGTCAGGAGCAGCCAAGGGCTCGAAAGGAAAAGTAGTCTATGCAACCAAGAGAAACAAAGTGAAAGTCCACTCGTCGGAGAGATTTCGTGTACTCTCACGACTTGAAGGCGGTTGGCCCATGACGCGCCACCGCTGCGTCATTCCACACCAGTCCAGGCCACTCGTTCATTGAGCAGAGCGACCGCGACCGCGACAATGATCGCGATCAGGTCCTAGTGCTCATCGCCAATCAGAAATGCACAGAGAGAGAGAGAGAGAGAGAGAGAGAGAGAGGAAAATGACAAGTTGAAATATATGAAAAGCAGTGCCATACAGAAATTAAGATCGCTTATGACTCATTGTTCCAGGTTCTGTATAACTCTTATCGGGTTGACCGATGAAAAACCATCAACGAACTAGGTCCGTGGTCATCGAGATCCGTTACGTCGATGATTGTGAACGAAGCCAGTGGAGGTACGGTAATGTTCCCGATCTCGGTGACTGAGAGTGGTAGTAGTAGTAGTAGTGGCCTGGTGTGTCGGTGTCCAGGGCAAAAGAGCCTCAGGTCCTGCGAGAGGAATAGAGTGAAAGAGAGAGAGAGAGAGAGAGAGAGAGGGAAGAGCAAGTTAAAAAATGGGCCGGCTTCGGGTGCCACTCGAACCGACCAACCGAGCAAACTGAGCAAATCGAGGAATTGGAGGTGAAGCCGTAACGGTTCCGATCGAAGCCTCCTCTCCTTGTAATTTCGGTGGAAGATCTCACGTGGTTCAAGCCAGCAAGATCAGTCCTCTAGATCCATTCGGTATTTGGGTGATTCGTTAATTAGGTAATTGGGAAATATCATTGAGCATTCGGATCAGGCATCTAAACAGGATCAACCACTCACTCTCAATCTCCACTTTCTCTCAAACGATAACAGACTTTATCAAAAGTCCTTTAAGTCGATAACTAGATAAGACTTAACCGTGCAATAGGATGAGACGAATTGACTAGACGTAGGACAATCAGCCGTAAGAGTTGACACGTAAACGTATACGAAGTTAGCCAGTCAAAAAATGACCTGAGAATTAATTCCCAACGATCGAAGTCAGTCTAGAAGAATCTCCATACGCACATGCAATACCTGTTGCGCAATCGTCCGACAATCTGCCACTTACTAAGTAACTAAATTCCACCGTCCGTATAAATTTCTCCCATTATCTTTGACAGAGACACCTTCGCGTCCTTCGCGACATAATTCCCCCCAAGATCATCCGTTTCCTCCAGCACGATGGGACCATTCGCGTTTAGCACGGGCATAGCGTATCACTGCTGGAGGTGGTTTAATAGATGGGTGGGTGGATGATTGGATGGGTAGGCGGCGACAGTAGTGGCGAGTGTCCATTGGGACCAAGGGGAGAGGCTAAAATAGAGGGATAGACGCGTCGAAGAAGAAGACGAAGAAGAAGAAGAGGACATAGTGTTGTCTCGCGAGCACCCAGTATGCAGTCAGAATCAGTATAGCAAGTATAGCGTGTACTCGTATATACAGAGTATAGAAGGAGCGCGGCGAGCAACTCTGTGCAAAGTAAAGAGGAGCTGCGCTGGGTCGATGCCCGCAACTCGCCGTGACCCAGTGCGAGCGCTAGGACATTGACTCTGCCATCGCCATCGCCATCCGCGATACGAACTCCTTCCCTCCCCCTTCGCCTCCGCCTGCCCGGCACCTCCTTCGGCAGCCACCAGGTCTCCACCGAGTCGAACTCACCCGCTAACGTATCGCCTGCCACCTCCTCCTCCTCTTTATTCTCTCATTTGCTCCAGCTTCATCCATCTTGCACTCTGCTCCTTCGGATGGCTCAGCGGTTGCTGGCAAATTTTCAAACCGAGTACAATGAGCTATCTTTTTGAGCTACTATGTGCTGTAGTATTTCATTACATGCGAGGTGGGTCTGTGGAACGGAAGGGAACTCGATGGCTCGAGAGACTCCTGGATCGAAGAATTCCTAGTGAGAAAATGAAGAACAATGGGGGGAAAAAAAGCGAGGAGTCTAGTAGTGACCCGTGGTGAGGGGAGGAGTCGAGGAATCGAGGGAGAGTCAGCTGACTCGTATGTAACTCTCACGATCAGCTGAGTCGCTATGGCTCGAAGGCTCTCTCTCTCTCTCTCTTTCTCTCTCTCTCTCTCTCTCTCTCTCTCTCTCTATATCTCTCTCTCTCTCTCTCTCTCTGAACTGTCCGCGACTCGCTGCGAATGTCGGTCGTCCACGCAACGGAGCAAGCACACTCCTCGACTGCACGAGTCTGGTAACCTTCCAGTGCTGACGAAACTTCCTGAACTCGTGGCCGGAGTTAACCGAGTTCTGAGGACAGTCGGGAAGGGACGGAGCGCGGCCAGCGAATGATAACGAAGAGCCAATGCATGTGAAGGGACGAATGGGGGAGGGAGAGAGGGACATTATGCGCGTCTGCTGCAGGAAACCCTAATTCAATAGGACCCGGAAGCCAGTCATCCGATTACACCGACGGGAAATTCTAAATTTCCACGTGAAGAGCCGCCAGAGCCGTGGAAATAGGCGGAGGATCGGCTGACGTGACGTTAATAAGATGCAGAGAGCACGTTAAGGATCCTCCTCACGTTTTTTTTTTTTCCCGAAAACATTCGAAATACAGGCAGAAAGTAAGATCACCAGATTACAGATGAAGAATCTCGTCGAAGTCTCCCGGAGACTTTAGCCATCGGACTTCTTTTGGGAAACTGGTAAATGGCCCGTAGATTCCGCGCACGTTTCCAGTCCCGCAGCGTTTCGTTCCTGCTCCACGTTTCTGATCCATTCTGATCCCGTTATGCATTTTCAGAAAAAAATTTCTCTTAGCAAAAAATTGCCGCATCCTGTGCCGGACCCTCCTTCTGTCCCGGTAGCATTTGGTTTGGCCTATTCCGCCGCTTCGCCGCACGTCTCTTCCGCGTCTTTACTTATCCGCTGTTTTTTATCCTCCCTCTCTTTTGTAGCGGGCCGCGAGCGTATTCGATTACTTCTCCTCGTATTACCCTACGTCCCATATCCCGTCCAACGTCCCTCGCGCTCACGCACGCACGCGCCCTTACGTCATCGCCTCAAACCTCCCTCGACAGTTTTCACTTTTTTAGTCTGTCCCTTTTTTTCCCTTCTCTTTCCCCATCGCCAGCAGCATCCTATGTCCATTACGTTCCACACGCCGTTCGCCCGAAATTCCCAAATCCATATTTATTACGCATTCCTTATATTTTTCATTTTGACCAAACTCAACTTTCTTTTTTATCTGCGCAATTTCGCAGTAAGAGCGATTCCGCTAACGTGGCTTACTAACTACTTGGCTAGGTAGGTAGGTAGGTAGGTTGGTAGGTAGGTAGGTAGGTAGGTGGGTACACAAGTAGTTTCTGTAGATAGGTAGTTAGGCTGATTAGTATAGTGCAGAGTTAAAGAGGAATATGTGAACGACTAAGGAAGACAGGAAGGAGGGTAGGCAGCTGGTCAGTTAGTCAGTTAGTCAGTTAGTCAGTTAGTCTGTTAGTCTGTTAGTCAGCCAGTAATGTACCTATAAGTGCTGGATAGTTTGGTAGCGACGACGGTCAAGGATTCGTGACGTTAGCGGCAGCATATCATTAAGGAATTCAGGCCAAAAAGTCACCGCTGTGTATATAACCGTTCGCCATCTAACGATCTCGTCGTCTACTTGGATTTAGCATCCAAATCAAAACGAGACACCGTCCCGTGAAGCTTTTGCCGGTTAGAATTCACGTCCCACCCGAATTAACGTCCAGGCATTTTTTCAGCAACACGTAATTAGCTATTTGAATTGCTAATTTACACAGGCAAAGGGTCACGCTGTTAGTGGGGCATTAGGCTCTTGAAACTATTAACAGTCCACGACGTTTATTGCATATGACGCTTGTTCTGGGAATTTAAAGAGAATTGTGATAATAAAGGATAGGCGGGAAATTCAAACTGATTTAGGATATCTGTACGTGATACTGTGAAATTGCTGGAAGTAAATTTTAGCGACTGAACGATATTACTGGCACGTTTGGTATGGACTGAGCGAGCCATTGAAGCTACCTGTCCCCGTAGTCATTTTCATTCGAGGAGTTAAGAGTGCCGTGCTTCCATCGCCGGAAAATGCGGCTCACTTAATTATGCGAGGCATGTCTGCTGTCGTTTCTTGGCCAATAGGACTGTTGTTCTATGGGACAGTGGACGTTGTTACATGTAAGCCACGCCTCGTGACCTAGACTCCCACATAACTGTTCTCGAAACATCACCACCTGAATGAAACGATGGTAAATCAAACGCAGAAACACGGCTGGAGACTCGAGAAGGAAAGCGTAAACCATGTTAGAGTACTGAACATAAAGATATATGAAAGCAATAAATTGATAACCCAAACAAAATAAATATGGCGTACTAGAAATCTCTCATAGGCGGAAATGTCTGCGCAATTTTTTGCAACGGAGATGATTTTGAGGTTGTAAAGAATTTTTGGGGGAAAAAAAAATTGGGGGCGCGTGCCCATTCGACAAGTCAAAGGAGTCTGGTCCAAAGGGTTTGGAAAATGGCAAAACTTCAAATTATAAAGAAATTGGTGAATTCGAGCGGAGAGTGTAAAACGGTGAGTGGTGAAAGGCGAGATGTCCAGTGTAGGTATGCAAGTAAACATGCGTATATATATATATAGCTAACACTGGCAGCCCCTCGACTCCTGATGAATCCGCAGTGAGCCCACGATGGACATTGAATAGCTCGAATG